CGAATAGAAGACCCGGATATTAATCCACACTCCTTCAAACACCTTTTTATTTTTGATAAAGAAGCAAAAAGTATCAAATGGAAGAAAAGATAGCATATTTAACAAATGGTGCTGGCATAACTAGATAGCAACATGTAGAAGAATGAAAATAGACTGATATCTATCACCATGCACAAACTCAAGTCCAAATGGATCAAAGACCTCAAGATAAAGCCAGCCACACTGAACCTTACAGAAGAGAAAGTGGAAAGTACACTTGAACGCATTGGCACAGAAGACCACTTCCTAAATATAATCCCAGCAGCACAGACACTGAGAGAAACAATTAATAAATGGAACCTCCTGAAACTGAAAAGCTTCTGTAAAGCAAAGGGTATGGTCAACAAGACAAAATGACAACCTACAGAATGGGAAAAAAATCTTCACTTAACCCCATTTCAGACAGAGGTCTGATCTCTAAAATATACAAAGAACTCAAGAAATTGGTCTTCAAAAGAACACATAATCCAATTTAAAAAAAAATGGATTTCAGACCTAAACAGAGAACTCTCAACAGAGGAATCTATAATGGCTGAAAGACACTTAAGAAAATGTTCAACATTTTTAGTCATCAGATAAATGCAAATCAAAACAATACTGAGATTTCATATATTTTTATTCCCCAGAGAACTTAGACAACAATGAGGACACTAAGAGAAACTTACATAGATCTAATCTACACAGGAAGTAGAAAAAGAGAAGATCTCCTGAGTAAACTGGGAACATGGGGATCTCAGGGGAGGGTTGAAAGGGGGAGGGGAGAAACAGGAAGGGGAGCAAAGAAAAATGTAGAGCTCAATAAAAATCAATTAAAAACTGTAAAAAAACCATTATGTCCAAGGATGAGATGTTATCCTTAATGGACAGACTTCATACCTTGAAATCCTCAAGGAGGACATTAAAACAAAACACTGGACAGGAGATCCAGACTTTACAAAAGGCAGTAGTAAAAAAAAATTTTTAAAAAGATTAAAAAATTTATCAAAATTGTTGAGCAGGGACAAAAGTTACAAAATTTAGCCCCATTAGTACGTACCAAACTCCTGGATGGCTTACCCAGAGTTCTAACTACCTATCCAGTGATCTCCTTGGAAAGACCATCTGGCACCAAGTACCTTAAGGTAGTCAAAAAATATAAATGGAACCCATTTGTATGGGTGATCTAAAAGAAATTAAATAAGCAACCATTTCTTACAGCCCACATTCACCCTTTGTTAGGAAAATGGTCAAAACATGGGCTTCAAGCAATAAGGCTACCCCACAAGCTCGGCTTCAGTTAATCTCAGTGGTCCTAAAATATGGACCGCATCTTCTCTAAAAAAGTTATTTGGCAGTGGCGGGGAAGAGACAGAAATCTTTAATAAATAAATAAATTTAAACGAAAAAAGAAAAAAAGACAAAAATTTTTTTGAATGTTTTCGAGACAGGGTTTCTCCGTAGCTTTTGGTTCCTGTTCTGGAACTAGCTCTTGTAGACCAGGCTGGCCTCAAACTCACAGAGAACCGCCTGCCTCTGCCTCCCGAGCGCAAGACAAAAATTTTTTAACAAAAGGAAAAAGCAAAAGAACTTGAGATCTTGAGAACTTTGATTCCCAAGATCAAATTCTTGGCGAGGGTTCTTACTCTGATCCTAAGGACCAGGCTCTTTACGACAAATACACCTTATCCCTAGGCAGCACAGCAGCCTTAAATTCTTGGGACAGGATTCAGAAACCAAAAAAGAAAAAAAAATATATTAGAATTAAATAGGGTCAGAGAAAACCTTTTAGTGACTTTTTTCAAAGATTAACTAAGGCTGGACAAATAGGAGTAACAGAACCAGAAGGTGGATATATACTTATTAAATCTTTGGCTTTTAAAAATGCCAACTTTGAATGCAAAAAGATCCTTGGGCCTTTAAAGGTCAGATCAGCACCAATGGATGAATGGATCTGCATATAATGAATGTTGAGACATTTGACTATAATAATAAATTGGGTAGGGGGTGTGATTTCCAATGTTATGAGGAAACAGCAAAATGCTAAATGTTTTAATTGTGATAAAACAGAACATCTGAGAAGGGATTTTAGACAAGAAATTCCTAGAAATAATATCTACTATAGAAATGGCAAGAATATGAGGACTCAGCCTTTGGGTGTCTGCAGGAGGTGTGGCAAAGGCTGACACTGAACCAATAAATGTAGGTTGACAAAGGATAGACAAGACAATCCGATACCATTGGCGAACTCCCTTGGGGGCCTCTCACAGGTCCAATGGTCCAATCTTTCCCAGTTACTGTGGAAAACATGTCCCACAAAAAATTTTAAAAACCCAGTGCCCACTGTAAAAAATACTGGTCTGAATGATAAAATAGACGTGGACGATAAATCAAAAACTCTAGTAGGAAATAAAAAACATATATTCTGGCAACTTCTATAAATAATCAAAGACCAAAGCTAAAAATGTAAATGGCATTGTTATTGAGGGCTTGATAGACATGGGTGCGGATGTAAATATTATTACTCCAGAATCTTGGCATCTTAATTGGCCTCATCAAGAGGCAGATATTCAGTTCCTAAGAATTAAAACCCTATCTCAAGTAAAACAATGCATGAAATAGGGTAAATGCATCAGGCCAAAAGAAAAAAAGTGAAGACTGAGACTATATGTAGCTAATACTGCAATGAATTTATGGGGTTGTGACCTGTTACAGCAATGAAATATTGAGGTTAACATTCCTGCAGTCCTAAAAACTTATGTTTCTGGGAAAGATGATAAGGTCATCAGCCATTCAGGCTCAATAACCATACTATACACTCTCAACACCAGCAGTAAGACCCCCTCTAATCCCAACAATGTGACCCTCTTTTAACCAAGGCTGTAAATAGTGTGCAGCTCCTTCATCAATGTAATTTTTTTGGTGTTTTTTTTGTTGTTGTTGTTGTTTTTGTTTTTGTTTTGAGACAATCTCACTGCATAGCCGTGGTTAGCCTGGAACGGGCAATGTATAATAGGCGGGTGCCATCTGAGTGCTGGGACTAAAGATATATACTACCATGTAAAGTCATCAATAGCTTTTAAAATCCTGCAGTATCCATAAGGAGTTTGTCTGTAAATTCATCAGCAAATTATAAGAAGGTGAGCTATTTTTGTAAACTACTTGATAGGTGTTAGGCTTTATACACTTTTGATACAGATATAAATAATTTGCTCTGGTATGGATCTTGATTTATTGATACAAATTTAAGGTCAATTTTGTTATATGTAGATTTCTGCTCTTGATTGAGAATTTGTGATTGTGTAGCTCATTTAAAAAAATGTAATGTATCATTAAGAAATATAGGTTAATAGATAGTCATCTATAATAGTCAAGATTGTAGCCATGTTAGTTAAGTTTTCTTCAAATCTTTCAGAGACCTTCAGAATAGGCATTTAAAATGTTTTAAGAACTTAACACTTTTCATGACAGTGAGACACATCTGCTCCTGGCAGCACCAATTACTTTGAGAGGAAGATGGGCATCGAAGAGGCTCCTTAGCCATTTGGGCAAGAAACTGCTCTTGCCTAGACTGCTTCACTGGACATGCAATAGCCAAAGAGACTGCTGAACTTGCCTAAAGGTGAGATGGTCTTTCGGGGTTCCTGCTTCATGAAAGAGTCTGCCAGACATTCTGCAGCACACAGAAGAAAATGACTGAACTGTCTTTGAAATTTCCTGCTTCATGGGAAAGTCTGCTGGATACTATGGACCTGCAGGCTGAAGATGGATGCCCCAACGGTACAGAAGAACTCTGGGTGACTGTCCAGGCAGGGAGATGTCTCTGTTTCTGGTGGTTCCCATTGCTTCTCTCTGACTCTGCCCTTCTTTTTCCCTGCCTACCTAAGTTCTTCCTTGATATAGGTCTAAAGCAGTTTCTTTATTCATTAACCTATAAAAGCAACACACAGACAAAAGGACCTCCCATATCATTTCCCCCTTCCTGTTTAAACAAAAAGGAAGGCTTTAACTTTAACATAGCAAAACTACATATAACAGAATAGGTATCAAGCAAGAATTACAGTTACAATATTTATATTTACTTTATCTTTTATCATAACTAAGGAAAACTATATTATTACTATCTACTCTTCAACTCCATCAAAGACTCCAGAAGGACATAATATTGCCTAAGTGGTGCAGGAGAATTGTCTGTATTCTGTCAATCATATTTTGAATAAACGCTGATTGGACAGACAGGAAGTATAGGCAGGTCAACCAGACAGGAAGTAGAGGCAGAAGAATTCTAGGAAGGAGGAAGCCCATTCCCCACTCCTGCTCAGATTACCGAAGAAGCAGGATGTGATCTACCCCATTGAGAAAGGTACAGAGCCATGTGGCTAACATAGATAAGAATAATGGGTCAATATAAGTTATAAGAGCTAATAAGTAGCCTGAGCTAATGGGCCAATCAGTTTTATAACTTATGGAGATCTCTGTGTGATTTTCTCTGGGACTAAAGTGCTGGGGGACCAGGCGGGACAGAAATCCCAACAAGCCCGGCCCTCATGTTACACCTCAATAAACAGGAAGTGCATTATGTTGTTTTCATTGGTTAATAAAGAAACTGCCTTGGCCTGCTGATAGGGCAGAACTTAAGTAGGCAAGGAAGACAGAACTGAATGCTGAGAGAAAGGAGGCAGAGTCAGAGAGAAGCCATGCATCCACCGCCAGAGTAAGACATGCTGCCAAAACTTAGCTGGTAAGCCACTGTCACGTGGTGATACACAGATCAACAGAAATGCATTAAACTAAGATGTAAGAGTTAGCAAATAAGAAGTTAGAGCTAATGGGCCAAGCAGTAATTTAATTAATATAGTTTCTGTGTGGTTATTTTGGAGCTAAGCTAGCCGGGTGGCTGGGACAAACAAGCGGGCTTTGGAATTCACACAACAAAAATTAATATAATAAACATATTTTAAAGCTTAAAAGAATCCACTTCTCACCTTAGCAGCTGGAGAATTCTTCATCACTGCTGTCAAAGCTTGAATTGTTGATACAGCCAAACAATCTAACCGCCCCTGAAATACCTAACAAAGGGAACAGCAAGAAATTAACAAATGTACTCAGGATTTTGTTCACATGGAAACCTTTGTTCTGAAAACCTGAAGAAATAATAACATGCATTGTATTCCTCTTTCTACCAGATGGGTTGTTGAAACAATATTATCTGCAAGAAAAAGTTTCTTAATTAAGAGAAGATACACCACATGTCAAGAAGAATGAAGCACATTCATTTAATATTAATTTTTCTGAGGGGGAGGGGAAAAACAAACTTTACACATGCCTTTAAAAAATAATGGACAATCTCAAGAGGAGAGGAGGGAGGTCTGCAATTAGAATTTATACTATGCTTTAATTTCCTTTTAAACATACTTGAACTTACTAGGCTTAAATAGTTAACATGTATAATGAAACAGCTTAAATAACTGTTTGCTTGGTTTCCGAACTCTGTACAGAAATGAAAATGATATGGACATATCATCATTAAACAGGCATATCTATTTCTATAAATAATTTGAGTCAAATGATGAAAATGAAATGTGTATATATAAGTAGTGGTATGCTTTGGAGAAGGCAATCTTTCATGTCAAAAGTTTTATGGACGAATTAAAAACTCACTTAACTTTTATTTAAGATTAATCATAATTATGATATGCATTAGATATCATGAGATATTCTCCTAGAGAATAAATCAATAAGTACCATCAATAATACTAAAAAAAAATAAAAATTAAGAAGTTAAAAACTTAACATGGTTGCTTTATAAGACTTAACTAACCTTTGTAGACTTTATACTAGAAAGCTGGGGTTGTAGAGATGACTCAACAGTTAAGAGCATTGGTGCTCTTGCAGAGGACCTGGATTCAATTCCCAGTACCCGCATGGCAGCTCACAACAGTTTGTAACTCTAGTCCTGGAGGTGTGATGACCTCTCCTGACCTCTGAGGGCACTCCACTCTCACACACTGAGAGACATACTTAAAAATGACTATGATTTAAAAATAAAACATGCAATATTATTATGACCTTAACCCAGTCACTCACATAATAACATTCTCTTAAACTCTTTAGCTCTTTAGGTTTACTAAGTTCTATTACTTTTTTGTGTGGTACTTAATCTAGAGTCCTGACTTTACACAAGAAAACATCTGTAGTAAACTATAAATTTAAATTCTGTATACACAAGATTCATACGAATAAGATCTGTGGTGGACTTTGTTCAAGAACAAACTAAAAAGACCTCATCATAGCTACCTTTTAAATTACCATAATCTTTTGTAAGAAATTATAATATATTTAAGAAGCCCTTAAGAGAGTATAAAGAGAAAGAATCTAAAGCAATAAAGAGCTCTGTGAATCTCTATTTTACACCCATAAATAGAAATCAACAGATTACAATACTCTTTTTCTACAGCTCAGTAAACCTAACATTAAGTGGTGTAGGGAGCGGGCCGCTTGTTTGTCCTGGCCGCCCGGCCAGCTTACATCCGAATTAAACACACAGAAACTGTATTAATGAAAACACTGCTTGGCCATTAGCTCTAACTTCTTATTGGTTGACTCTTAACATATTCGTTTAACCCATCACCATTAATCTGTGTATTGCCACGTGGAAGTGGCTTACCAGAGATTCTAACCAGTGTCCATCTCTGGTGAAGGACCATGGCTTCTCCCTGACTCTGTCTCCTTTCTCCCAGCATTCAGTTTTGTCTTCTCTACCTACCTAAGTTCCATCCTATCAACTAGGCCAAGGCAGTTTCTTTATTCATTAACCAATGAAAGCAATAAACAAACAGAAGGAATTCCTACACTAATTAAAATAATTTTAAAAAAAGATATATAAATTCTCTAGCAAACTATGTTGAGGAAAAAAAGCAAATTTACAGGTAGGTTTTTGGTTTTTCCCAAATTAATTTACCAAATATATTTTGATATTCCAATATAGGGTTGAATTTTGAGAACAGAAAAAATAAAATTGTATGCTAAACTAATATTCAAGGGGCTCATCTTCTTCTTCCCTTCCTCCAAGATTCAGGTTGTCCATTAAATTATAATCATTATGTCAAAAGAAGCAAAGAATCAAGATATTGACAATGACTGTGCATATTCAGAAACAACGCCCTCACGTCCCAATACACCACAGTGCTTAGAAAAAGAAGCCCCTCGAACAAAGGCATCACCAGGTGGGTCAACAGTGATACTGGGATCCATTCCTGTACTTTTTATCTTCCCAAATTGAAAAAAGGCACACATTAACACAGAATTGTAATGAAGGTTTATCTTTTAATTGTAATAATCCTCAAAGATAAATAATTACTAGAATCAGAGGGTTTTTTTTTTGGAAAAATAAGAAGAAAAGCACAGGAATAGTTAACCCATTGACTGATTCTGGACTTCAGCTGAAACAAGATGCAGGCTTTGTAGATACCTGGTCCTCACTTATCTCTGTCAGTAATTGGTTGGCAAGGTCTTTCTCGTTCTTGTCTGCTACCATACTGTGAGCATTTAAAAATAGCTGTTAAAAACAGAGACAAGAATAATGGAAAAAGAACATTAAATTGTTACCTAAAAGCAGAATGAGGTCCAACTGGAATTTCATGTCTCTTGAAAACTAATCCAAGAATCCACATATGAAGTACATCCCTTCCAGAAATAGCTGCTTTCTGAATAACAATTTTATAGCAGTTTACACAGTATATAATGGCTGTAGATATGATTCTCCTTTCAAACTCACAGTAAGAACTAATGATAGATTAATATTCCCAAATTATTAAAGAAACCACAAAGAATGACACTCAGAAAAGTAAACTGCTACTGAGCTAGATAAAAGATACTTCAGTAAATAATGATGTGTTTAGCTGAGTAAGTTTATAAAATCCTACTTAGCTAACATTAAAAGGAACTCTTTCCAAAAATACTTCTCAGAGTCTCAAAGAGACTAGTATATAGCTTGACAAAGAAAATCAGTGTACAGCACTGACTGCCCAAGTTTATCTGACCTCACATCTTGTTAAAAAATATTCTTCACCTGAACCTACTTCATATTTTATTTTGTAGTCCCTAAAGTAAACTGGGGAAATCTCTGGCACACATGGTATGCTTTAAGTCTTTTTTTAAAGATTTATTTACTTATTTACTTGTTTGTTTATTTATTCATTATGTGTACCTGCATGTATCTCTCCCTGAAGGTCAGAAGAGGGCACCAAATCTCACTAAAGATGGTTGTGAGCCACCATGTCATTGCTGGGCATTGAATTTAGGACCTCTGAAAGAGTAGCCAATGCTCTTAACCTCTGAGCCATCTCTCCAGTCCCATGCTTTAAGATTTTTAAAAACTTGTTATCATTATAGTGGATGCATATATGTGCGGGCATAAAAGGAATGAAGGCATATGCCACAGTGTACATGTGGAAGTCAAAGGCTTTAGGGAAAAAGTTCTCTCCTTACACCTTTACATAAGTTCCACAGATCAAACTCTGATAAATGGGTCAAACACAGATCTAACACTTGTCGTTTGAGTGACAAATCCCTTTACCAAATGAGCTGTACCACTGGCCCATGACTATTCTATTTTACATGAATCAAAGGCATTAGGTACTTTACTTTTAGTGTCTTAACTCAGCATCCAAAAAGATTTTGGCTTCTGTCAACTCAATGGGGAGAAAGAAACTTCAAATGAAAGTGAAATGGAGAGAAAGGTTTATAAAGAAATTAACAGCATCCTAATAAGTAATTTCTTAGGAAATTATGTTATTTCAGAAAATAGAAAAAGTTCAATTACATGTATAAATGAAAGTATAAACTGGGCAGCAGTAGAGTGTAATACTAGATGCAAGAGTATATGTAAAGCTTAATGCAATAACAGGCTTTGGAAACAGGGCTTTGGAATCAGAGACCTTGATTTGCATCTTGGTTTTATTCAACTCTTGAGTATTTGAATTGAATTTGTATTACCTAACCTGGCAAAATCTCTAAACGATCCTTAGTATCATTAAGAGTGTGTATGTGTGGTGCTAAAGCTCAAACTTAGGGCCTCATGCATATTTAGGAAGGTGCTCTATAAATGAATTATATCCCCTGTTCTTTGCTACTTCTACAAGCTTATTTATCTAAAATGGGACTATCTTATCAAATAATTCTGCAGGTTAAGCGATATATAATCTATAGTAGTTTATTTACATGTCTACCACACAATAGGGATTTAAAAAAATGAAAGCCAATATTAGGAGGAAAATTATATATGATATTGATTTCTTTATTACTCAAGTGTAAAGGAATGGGGATGTTCAGACAAAAGTAAAATTAAGTAGTCTCCAGGGTCAGGTATATAACTCACTAATAAAGCACAACCCTAACAGGCAAAGGCCCCCAAGTCTGATTCTTACTATCACAAAACAGAAGCTAACACACCAGCCTACACAAAGAATTTGTTTGTTTATTTATTTGTTTTTGTTTTTCAAGACAGGGTTTTTCTATGTGCCCTGGCTGTCCTGGAACTCACTCTGTAGACCAGGCTGGCCCTGAATTCTGCCAACAGAGTGTGGGTTTAAAGGCATTCACCATCACTGCCCAGCCCACATAATACTGTTAAAGTTCTTGGTCTTAAAATAGAAAGTATAACTCTAATAATTTAAGACAAAGAAAGCACAAAATTTCAGCCAAGATGAGGGTTTTAAATCCTTCCTATTACTAATGACAGGTTGTGTTTTTTTCTTATAGTTAAAATATCATTGAATTATCAAAATGCATTGTACAAAACTAAAAGAATTACCAAAATATTCAACATTCATCACATCTAACCATAAAAGTCTAATATATGATACCATGCAATATATATTTTACACATATATAAGAAGTTTATATTATAATGAAACTTAGATGCCAAAGACAAAAGCCTTTACACAGGTTCTTGGGAAATGAACACACATTTAAGTTGGTGACTACCATACACAAAGATGCCAAAGAAGCTACCAGTAGTATAGGTCAACAAGTGGATCAGTATGTAAAAAAATACTTGCTGGACAAGCACAACAACCTAAGTTCCATTCCCAGATGTCCTCTGATCTTCAGATGCATATTTTGGGATATGTGCACACATTTATATCACACAGAAACACACACACACACATATACATAATGAGTTTTCAAAGAAAAACTACCAACATCAGTCTAAAATTTTCCACCAATGTATAAATTATTTCTGCTATTTGACAGCTTTAATTGGAGTATTTCCATTGAGTATTGATGTTTAAACAGTAAAATCATCTTGATTGTGCATTACTGCATAAAACAGACTAAATGATTTGTTTATTAAAAGTAACAACAAAATGATACAGAAAGAAATATGCAATTCATTTTGAAACTTAAATTTTCACAAGATTCCAAGTATTTTTATACATTCAGAAATCCTAACTATGTTCATAAGATGTTATATCAATAAACACTATAATTGTCACCAGGCGAAGTAAGTGAATCTCTCTAAGTTAAAGGCCTGCATGGTCTACAAAGCAAGTTCCTGGACAGTGAAACTGTAATACAGATAAACCCTGTCTTGAAAAACCAAACCAAACAAAACAACAAAAATTTTTAAAAAAACCCAAAACTTATAATTGTCTTATATTTAATACACAGTCAACATTTGATACTAGTTAAAAATCAATAATCCTGAATGAGAAACAAATTTGTAGTAATTATATATTATAATTAACTTAAAGTCAGAAAACATGAGTATAAAAATCCTAGTTCCAACAATTATTAGATCAAGAGTTAGTAATTTAACACCTCAGGGCATTATTTCTTCACTTATATAATGAGTAAATTTGAAAATTTATTTTAAAGATTTAATTTTAATGTTTGAAACAATTACTGCCTGAATGGCGAAATTTCTTTAATGTTGGGTGTGGAACCCTTATGCTTCTGGTAGGAATATTAATTAGTACAGTCGAAAGGGAAACAGTATGGACATATCTCAAAAAACTAAGAATAGAACTGTTATATGATCCAGTTCTCCCACTTCTTGGTATATATCTAAGGAAATAAAATCAATGAACAAAGGACACTCAAATGCTTGCTATACTGCTGGACTATGTACAACAGTTAGGAGAATAACCAGCCCAGAAGCATGTCAACCATCGAATGGACAAAGAAAATATGGCACACCATATATTGTGGTATTAATGTTAACCAAAGGGAAAAAAAATTAAATTCTGTCACCTGAAGCAAAGTGAATGAGATATAATACGAAAGATTATAGACAAGTGCCACATGTTCTCTCTCATATACGGAAAAAACAAACAAACAAACAAAAAAGCAATTGATTCAAGTAGAAGAGGAACTACTGAGAATTCGGAAGGATGTGGGGGTGTTGGCGGCAAGGGCAGAAGAATGGGTAAACATGATCAAACAGCAAAGATGGTCATAAGTACTACATGAATCCCAAATGGAGAAAACTACTTAAAGGGAAGGGACTTGTCCAAAGGCCTGGCTTTCCCTCCTGAAAATCATTTCTTCTTTGGTATTTTCAATTTCAAAGAAAAATGTAGTAAGTGACATAAAATATTTAACTTTTTTAAAGCTAGCACTTGGGAAGCTGAGGAAGGTAGATTGCTATGAACTTCAAAGACAGTCCCACAGAAAGTTTGAGGCAAGCCCAGGCTATATATAGAGTGAGGCCCTACCTAAAGAACAAGCACAAGAGCTGTAACTATGAAACATGGCTGTCGTGAAACAAGTATAGTCATGTGCTGTATGACGACATTTTGGTAAATAACAGATCACTATGTGACAGTGATCCTACGAGATTCTATCACATGGTGAGTTATGTCTATCTTAGTTTGAAGAAGTACACTTGGTGATGTCCATCCTAAAGATGTATTTCTTGGAGTTAACTGTGAGGTCATCATTCTGGTTAGCTATGAGAAAAAAAAACACTGTTCATACTAGACTTATTCATATACTAAAGAGAAGTTCGTCTTGGCAAATTTCATGGTGAGGGTGTGGGGATTAAAGACATGAGCTACCAACACCTGCTAAATCCAGATTCTTTTAATAATACACGAGATAACTTTGTTACTGATGCTATCATCCTAAGTGAGAAAGTCATACTGTCTTTACAATAAAAGTGTTTTATAAATATTTCTGTTATTTTTCAAAGATTATAGAATATGGCATTTTAAATGTTTTAATAACTTAGGACTTTTCATGACAATGAGACACTCTGCTCCTGGTAGCACCAATCTACTTCAAGAGGAAGATGGGCATCGAAGAGGCTCGTTATGGAGTTTGATAGCCATTTGGGCAAGAAACTGCTCTTGCCTGGACTATTGCATAAACTGGACACAGAGAACCCACAGAGAGAGGACTACTGAACTTGCCTAAGGTGAGATGATCTTTCGGGGTTCCTGATTCATGAAAGAGTCTGTGAGACATTCTGCAGGACACAACAGATAGTGACTGAACTGACTTTGAATTTTCCTGCTTTATGGAAATGTCTGCTGGATACCATGGGCCTGAAGGCTGAAGATGGATGCCCCAACGGTACAGAGGAACCTTGGGTGGCTATCCAGGCAGCAAGATGTCTCTGTCATTTCTAGAGTTTTAAAAGTTGCTTTTTTCTTGTTTGCTTAGGTAGTATTGTATCTTTCTGGAGTCTTTGATGGAGTTAAGAATAGTTAGTTATAGTTATAGTTTTCCTTAGTTATGATAAAGATTATTGTAACTTTTACTTGATAACTGTTTCGTTATATGTAATTTTGCTATGTTAAAGTTAAAGCCTTATTTTTTTTTTTTTGTTTAAACCGAAAAAGGGGAAATGATGGAGGAAGGTCATTGGTTAAATAAAAAGAAACTGCTTGGCCCTCATTGGTTAGAAGATAGGTGGGAGGAGTAAACAGTACAGAACGCTGGGAGGAAGAGGAAGTGAGCTCAGAGTCCACAGCTCTCCTCTCTCAGGAGCAGACGCCTCTGAGAGACGCCATGCTCCCAGCCCCCAGGCAGACACACGCGATGAAGCTCCGACCCAGGATGGACATAGGCTAGAATCTTCGAGGTAAGCGCACCTAGGGGCGCTACACAGATGATTAGAAATGGGCTAAATTAATATGTGAGAATTAGCCTAGAAGAGGCTAGATAGAAATGGGCCAAGCAGTGATTAAATGAATACAGTTTGTGTGTTGTTATTTCGGGCATAAGCTAGCCAGGCAGCCGGGGTGCTGGAGACGCTGCCCCGCTGCCCTTATTACTACAAATAAAATAAATAAAAATAAAATAAAAAAAAGTAAACTGGTAAATAGTAACAACAGTGAAAAGCAACCTAACAACATGTACCATGAGACTTAACAGTGTTCCTATTATTTTTAGCTCTCTATATTTTCTACTTAGTCGCAACTTTTTAATACAAATTTTCCTACTTTTAAAAACATTTGGGTCTACTCTATGCCCTATGATAAGGCATTCTACAAAAAATAGAGTTCCATTTATAAAACTTCAAAGTGTTATCCGAAGCAGGGCAGAAATGGGTCCATGCCTTTAAACCCAGCTCTTGGGAGGCAGAGGCAGGTGGATGCCTGTATTTGAGGCCAGTCTCAAAAAAGAATATCTAATTTTTGTTTTTTTTTTTTTAAAAAGGAGGCTGGGAAGATGACTCAGTGAATACAAGTGCTTGCCACACAACATCAGGCCCTTGACTGTATCTGTATGTTCTAGAGAAATTAGTGAATCAAGAAATCAGTAGTCCATGACTTTAAATGGTCCTAAATATAAATATATGTATCAATGCCTGTTGGAAAATAAAATATTTCCTAAACTAAAATATCATACACAAATATCACATGAGCTTTACTATCTTCAGACAATTATAAATAATATAATTCCTAGCTTCAATTAAGATAAAACCTGTCCCCATGTAGATTGCTTTAACAGATTTTTCTGAGCTTGGAGGATTTAAATATCTGCCGAGTTCCTAGACCAGAATGTATGGACTGAATGCTCCTGCCCTCTTCCGAGTCTAGGCTGAGTTAGTGAGAGCGTGAGAGGCAGAGTACCCAGTGATACTTACACACCATCAGAGAGGACAGCCTTGGCTAGAGTCCTACTTCTGTCTCTCACTGGGTCTGTGATCCTGGACAGGGTATAAATCTTTGTGCCTCACTTTTCTCACCTCTAAGATGGGATGAGGATATATGTACATATGCTAATATAGTCAAGATAAAAGTTGACAATATAATGACATGCAAACACAAATTGACAATAAAATTTTTTGCAATGGCATGCTCAAATCTGAATCAAAACAAGCCTTTGTTATTGTTTTTGTTTGTTTTTTGATTTTTTGAGACAGGGTCTCGCTATGTAGCTCTGACTGTCCTAGAACTCACTACATAGACAAGTCTGGCCTCAAACTCCCAGAGATCCACCTGCCTCTGTCTCCTAAGCACTGAGATCAAAGGCATGCACTACTAAAACAATGACATTTTAAAAAGTCATAAACAATGCCAACAAGATGGCTCAGAAGGATAAGGCACTGCTGCCAAGCCTGACAACCTGAGTTTAATCCCTAAGTCCTACATGCTAAAACAGAACCAACTCCCACAAGTCTGACCTCCACATTTATGCTGTGGCACACGTCCCTGTACACAAATAAGTAAATAGACAATCAAACAAATGTTCATAAATATTAAAAAGTTGATAATATAGTACCTTGCAGTTCTGTAGAAGTCGTATGAGATGTTCAAAGCAATTACTGTTAAGGAAAATGGCCTGAAGAACAGGCCTGTCTGCACAGTCTAACATGGCTGTGATGGTATCTATAAATTAAAAACAAAAATGACTCAAGTAAAAGTAAAACTTTGGGATAAAACATGTATCGTCATCATTTTAAAGTTAGGCTTTGCAGTTGGCAGAACAGATGCAAATTACTGGGAAATAGTGTAGATAAGGAACAGAAAACAAAAGTTGTAAAGAAAAGTGAACATTTTCATACTTTATAGTTCAAGCTAGTTTAAACTGTACATATGACCGGCAAATATTTTTTAGCAAACTGCTTATTTGTTCTTTCATAAAACTCATCCTGTGTCTGATTCGCTATTAATAAGCAATACCTGGGGGCTGGAGAGATGGCTCGGAATTTAAGAGCACTGGCTGCTATTCTAGACGTTCAATTCCCAGCAGCCACATGGTAGCTCACAACCATCTATAATGAGATTTGGTGCCCTCTTCAGGCATGTATATAAACATAATAAATAAATAAATCTTTAAAAAATAAGCAATATTTGTTTATGTTATTTACTATATGGCCTATGAAAACATAATATTTATCTCTCAGTTCCTACTGTGGAGATAATCCATTTGAAAAATCAAAGGATATCTGGCATGGCAAATATCATAGTTTCTAATAAAAAAAAAAGAATTCCATCCAACAGAGAATCAAACTAATTTTTAAATTTACAACTAATAATTACTATCAAAAAAATAGCTGGGTGGTGGTGGTGCTCACCTTTAATCCCAGCACTTGCGAGGCAGAGGCAAGTGGGTCTCTGAGCTGGTAGCTAGCCTGGTCCACAGAGTGATTTCCAAAACAGTGGAGACTACGCAGAGAAACCCTGTCTTGGAAAATGAACAAACAAAACTATAGAAAATGACATTATAGCATATGAACTAAAAACTCTACAAAACTATTCTTTCATATAAACAAATGAAATGATTCATTTTCAATGAGATTTTTATCTGCTATAGTTCTAAATTAATACATGTACATATAAATATATATGCCAAATCATTAACTGTTTTTTATATCTAGGTGGTGAGATATAAAAACTTTTTTTGATGTTGTTTTTCGATATAGGGTTTCTCTGTATAACTGCCGTGGCTGTCCTGGAATTCATTTTGTAGATCAGTCTGGCCTCAAACTCACAGAGATCTGCCCGCCTCTGCCTTTTGAGTGCAGGAATTAAAGGCTTGCACAACCACTGCACTACTGAGACGTAAAAACTTTCATTTTCTTTTTTCTTACTAAGTTTCCTAGTTTAGTGGTAATGACAACATCTACCTCTGAAATGAGTAGTTCTTTAACAATCTAACACAGGGAACATACAAGAATCATATAAAGTACCGATCACAATTTACATCATATGAACTGTCATTATGGGCTTCAACAATGAAACTTTAAAATACAGTGTGTCTGGGTGATATCGTTCAGGATAGTGTTTTCTATTTCTGTCCATTTGCATGCAAAATCCAAGATGTCATTGTTTTTTACCGCTGAGTAGTACTCTAATGCGTATATATTTTGCACTTTGTTTATCCATTCTTCCATTGAGGGGCATCTAGGTTGTTTCCAGGTTCTGGCTATTACAAATAATGCTGCTATGAACATAGTTGAACAAATGCTTTTGTAGTATGATTGGGCATCTCTTAGGTATATTCCCAAGAGTGGAACTGCTGGATCCTGAGGTAGGTTGACTCCCAATTTTCTGAGAAATCGCCATTACTGATTTCCAAAGTGGTTGCACATGTTTGCATTCCCACCAGCAATGGATGAGTGTTCCCCTTACTCCACAACTTCTCCAGTATAGGCTATCAATTGGTGTTTTTGATTTTAGCCATTCTGACATGTGTAAGATGACATCTCAAAGTTGTTTTGATTTGCATTTCCCTGATTGCTAAGGAAGTTGAACATGACCGTAAGTGTCTTTTGGCCATTTGAACTTCTGTTGAGAATTCTCTGTTCAGTTCTGTACCCCATTTTTAAATTGGGTTAATTAGAATTTCAAAGTCTAGTTTCTTAAAGTTCTTTATATATTTTGGAGATCAGACCTTTGTCTGATGTGAGGTTGGTGAAGATCTTCTCCCATTCAGTAGGATGCCTTTCTGTCTTAATGACAGTGTCCCTAAATGGTATGTCCTCACTCATTTGTGGACTCTAGCCATAAACCAAGGACATTAAGCCTATAGTTCACAAGCCTAGAGAAGCCAAATAACAAGGTGAACTCAAAGAAAAACATATATAGATCCTCCTGGGAAATTGGAAGCAAACAAAATTACTGGGCAAAAGTTGGGAGCAAGGGGGTAAAGGGTAGGGGTGAGATTGGGGGAAGGGGAGAGGGGGAGAAGGAAGGGAGAATGGAAAGACTGGCGAGAGCGTGGGGGAGTGGGAGGGTGGAGATGGAGGAAGGGCAGATATAGGAGCAGGGAACAAGATATCTACATTAAGGGAGCCATTTTAGGGTTGGCAAGAGACTTGGCTCTAGAGGGGATCCCAGGTGCCCACAGGGATGTCCCCAGCTAGGTCCTTGGGCAGCAGAGGAGAGGGTGCCTGAACTGTCCTTGCCCCACTATCACACTGATGATTATCTCGAATATCACCATAGAATCTTCGTCCCTCAACAGATAAAGATAGAGACAGAGACCATCATCAGGCAACGGACTGAGCTCCAAAGGTCCAGTTGAATGGCAGAAGGAGGGAGAAGATGAGCAAGGAAGTCAGGACTGCAAGGAGTTGGTCCACCAACTGAGGCAGTGTGCCTGTTCTAATGGGAGCTCACCAAATCCAGCTGGACCAGGTCTGAATAAGAATGTGATCAAACCAGACTCTCTGATTGTGGATGACAATAGGGACTGACTGAAAAGCCATTGATAAAGGCACTGGGACGTGTTTTTACAGCATGTTCTGGCTGTTTGGGACCCTAGCATGTAGCAGGGAGGGCCCTGGACTTCCCACAGGGCAGGGTTCCCTGCCCTCTCTTGAGCAAGGAGATGGAGAGATGAGGGTAAGTAGGGGAGCGGGAGGGGTTGGGAGGAAGGAAGGAAGTGTAAATATTGGAATGAATAAATAAAAATAAAAAAATAAAAATAAAAAATAAAAGCAAAACAAAAAAATCAAGTGTGTAAGATGACCATGAGACACTTGAGACATCTGATGGGAAATGGCAGGCTGTGGGTCTACATCTTATCTGGTGCTCTATTTCACACCACAAAAATTACTAAGAAAAGGGTTCTGGAGAGATGGTTCAGCAGTTAAGAGCACTGTCTACTACTCTTCCAGAGGTCCTGAGTACAATTCCCAGCAACACATAATCATCCATAGGGAGGTCTAGTGCCCTCTTCTGGCCCTCAGGGATACGTACAGACAAAACACTATAAACATAATAAATAAATCTTTAAAAAAATTACTAATATAAAAGGAAACATTTATTTTTGTGTTAAGTTATATATATATATATATATTAATTATACTTATTGGTGTTCCAAATATTTACATATATATATATGTAAATATATATAAAACTATCAAAGGGAATTTAGATGAACAATGAAAAAGAAGCAATGATCAACTGATATGTTTAATATCAGTTCTGGAGTCTGGAATGCGCTTGCAGCATCACTACTTTTTGGCATGCATTATTCTCTCTTCAGGATCACAAAGAGAATGGGCCTGTAGTATTCATGCCAGTTCTACTCAGTAGGAGCTGAGATACTTTAGGAAAATTACTGAGTATCTGACTCCATTAGAAAGGAATAATGAGTATGAGTCACCTATTGACTGAAACAATGGATACAGAGTATGTACTATACTAATACACTGTAACCAAAACAAAAAATCATCATCAAACTGATGAGGGAGTTTGCAAAGTACAGAGACCAGATATAGTTGCACAGAGACACAAAACAACCAACACAAAGAGAAGAAAAAGAGACAAAGGCACAAGGGTTCTCTGGGACAACTATATTGTTCTGTCCTAAAGAATAGAAATGTTAGAGAGGCATTTATTTAGTTAATTTTTATCATAGGTAAAAGAATATAAATAATATTTTCAAAAAATCCTTCTTCCTGGCAATTTTAGTGACAACTTTCTTTTTTAACAGACACACTTTATTGGATTATACTTCCAAAAAAGAATAGACAAGTAAAAATGATAAAGTAAAAATGTAAACAAATCAGTTCCATACTAATCATTTGGAAGTCAAAAATATAAATACACATTACTTGAACTAAACAGTCAATATTTTTAATACAGCAGACTGCATTTCAAAAGAAACTGAGAATAAAAAAGCAAAAATGAACTGAGGGAAGGAAATCTTTATTGAATACTTACTGAGCATCTTAATCTGCAGAACTATGAACTGGCTTTCCCACCGCATGGACTTCCTCTGTTTAGGTAAAGCTGAGTGATCTGAATTGAGCAATTTGAAATAGTTCTCCAGTACGGTACTGGTTTCCACCTGACGCTGGTCGGAACTGCTGGTGAGAAGGATATGTACCACTTGTGTCAGGCATTTCAGAGTTAGTTCTCTCTTCCTGCCCACTTCCTCAGGATCTCCTTCCTCCCATGAATCACAATCAGATAAAACTCGCATGAGAACTTCCATGGTGGCTGGAGAAATTGCTTGCAAAGCATTCCTCTGAAACATTAAAAACAATAAAACATGAAATGAAATCTAAAGGTTTTACATATTTGCAATAGCAGAGAATTAGTAAGCCTATGGGTAACTTTTTCTTTTAAATAAATGAACAAAGTTATTAACAGATATATTTGATAAACACTGCAAATGTTACTTGTATTGAGGCCTTATTTTGTTCACTACTAATCTGAAGTTCAACTTCACCTCCTTTGCAGCTAAAAGACACCATGTAAGATGGTTTTGCTCAAAAAACCAGACGACAAAGACTATAAAAGGGCTGATTCTTTACAAATGGAAAGGGTTTCTTTCTTTCCTTTTCCATCCTGGAGAGCAGACACAATGCTCAGAACCACCTTACACTAAAGTAGATACAACACAAGCATTAAATTGTAGGCAGTGTACAGAAAGTAAAACAGGACACACAAAGGATCTTAGCCCATGAACATTTCTCAGGGTTTCTGTACCCACTGCTGGTGTGAAAAAAGACCTTCTGTATATGTGCTGCTTTTATTGGCTAATAAAGAAGCTGCTTTTGGCCAATGGCTTAACAGAGTAAAGTCTGAAAGAGATATAGAGAGAGAGTAGGCGGAGTCAGAGAGATGCCATGGAGCTGCCAGAGAAGAAAGGTGCAAGCTGCCAGCCAGAACCTCAAAGGTAGGCCAAAAGCCACATGGGTTAACCAAAGATATAAAAGCTAGCTAGCAATACGCTTAAGTGATTGGACAAGCAGTGATTTAAATAAAATAGCTTCTGAGTGATTATTCCATGGTCCTGGCAGTCGAGAACAAACAAGTGGTCTCCACCAACAAATTGGGGCCAACTAAATCTACTTAAAACATAGGAAAGTTTGGGAAGAAATTCTACGCAGCTCCTTTAAAAGGGGTCTTCCTGATTCAGTTGTTTATACCACTGAAAAAAACCTGAGTGGTTTTGAAATGGAAGCTTCCTGGTTTATGCTGCCAGCATGAACTCTGGCTCTTTTGGAGGCCGAGCACTTGAATGGGGTTTGTGGGCTTCTAGTGTACTGTAAGTTACTTGGTGGAAGCATGGGCCAACAAGCTACCAGAGGTGAAGTGGTGAGCGTGGCTCCCACCCGGCATTCTCAGAGGCAGTGAATGGCCCTCCACCACATTGGACTGGGCTGAATCAAAAGGCTAAGAAGCATTGGCCCTAGCTATGCCCACTCAGCATTTAAAAAAAAGGGGCGGGGGGTTCTGGTCAGGAAATAATTACAGATATGCAATAAAGACAAATTCAGACAAAAAAAGACCTGTAAACCATTCACAATGCTGGAAAAATGTACATAGGTTTGGGACAGAGAAAAAAAAGAATATAGAGAGTTATAAAAAAAAAGTAAGTAGTTTTAAAAATTAAAATGAAGTCTTTAAAGAGGCAGAGTAAACTTGTAGAAAAATAATAGAGTAAGAAAAATAAGCCACATAACAATGAAATATACACAAAAATTCTGGATTATATGTACTATTATGTTTCCTTTAAATTTTTTGACTGTGAAAGAGCTAAGTACAGAGCAACATTTCATTGTACAGGCTGCTAAGAAAAACTAACATACATAATTTACAGGTATCTTGATTTCAAAATATGGGCCGAAAGAAAAAATGCTTTGGAAAAGAGGTTCTACTTGCTTCCACAGAGGATGAGAACCTATGGATCTCTTCTAGACTAATGTGGTTAGATGAACCAAGACTCCCCTGAAAGGATGCTATTAACACCCCCCAAAATACTTTTTGCCCAACAAAAAGCAGGAAGCACTTTGGAGAACTATGCCCAAATTCCTAAATATTGCTTATAAATATTTGTTTACATTTAAAGGAGAATGTGCTATAGAAATTTTCATTGGCATGGAACTCCTTTTATTGATATAAATTTAAAGTCAATGTTGTTATATGTATACTATATATTTCAGATCTTGATTAAGGTCTCATGTTTGTGCATCTCATTAAAAATGTAATGTATAATTTAAAAATACAGGTTAACAGATAATCATCTGTAATAGTCTAGCTTATATTTATGTTAAATTTTCTAGATGTACAGAGACACATTTCAGATGAGTAGTTATTCTTCAATCCTTTCAAAGTCCTACAGAATATGACATTTAAAATGTTTTAAGAACTTAGGACTTTACATGACAGTGAGACACGTCTGCTCCTGGAAGCACCAAGCTACTTCAAGAGGATGATGGGCATCAAAGAGGCTCCTCATGGAGTGAGGAGTTTGTTACCCATTGGGGAAAGAAACTGTTCTTGCCTTAACTGTTTGACTGGACTTGCCAGAGCCACAGAACCACCTAAAGAAGGTGAGACAGTCCTTCGGGGTCCCTCCTTCATGAAAGAGTCTGCAAAACATTCTGCAGGACACAGAAGAAAGTGACTGACAAACGGACAATATAGGCAGAACTGTCTTTGAAATTTCCTGCTTCATGGAACAGTCTGCTGGATACTATGGGCCAGTAGTATGGGCTGGAGATGGATGTTCAAATGATACAGAAGATCTGTGGGTGACTATCCATATAGCGAGATGTCTCTGTCATTTCTAGAGTCTTGAAAGTGGCTTACAATACACTTCCTGTTTACTCAGGTAATATATCCATCTGTAGTCCTTGATGGAGTTGAAGAATAGATATAGTTTTCCTTAGTTATGATAAAGTACATGTAAGTATTGTAGTTATAATTCTTGCTTGATACCTTTTTTTATGTAATTTCACTATGTCAAAGTTAAAACCTTCCTTTTTATTTAAATAGAAAAGGGGAAATGGTGTGGGAAGTCCTTCTACGTGTTGCTTTTTTTTTTTTTTACATTACATTGAATAGGAGATTTTATTCAAAATCGTAAGTCCATGAAAATGAATAGCCATGGCTAATTTGAAAGCTTGAGGCCATCAAAATGAGCTATCAAATAAAACTCCTTCAAATTCAGGGGAGAAAGTTGTTTAGTTTGGTGTCTGGAAAATAGATGCCGCAATTTACATTAAGAAGGCACTGTTGTAATGCAAAAACATTTCAGAGTTTTAAGAGATGGATTCCATTCCATTCTCTACAACCTGAGACAGTTTAAACTGAAGGAAATACCAATAGTCAAGTCATTTCCAGAGCAACACTAGTCATTAGGGAAAACAGTAATCTTGTGCAAAATAGGTCAACCATTTATAGGAAAACAAATGGAAGTCAGAACAGAGGTGAGAGTGACTTTGGAAAACAATTGGGAAATAAGTCATTACAATGCTAAATAGAAAATTAGATTACAACCTACAAGTAAACTAATTTTTATGTACTATTTGCTTCAAAATGTATACTAGGTTATATCAATGAAAATCACACAGATAATTCTGGAAATGTACTAAAACTCTCTTGATGTTCAATTCCCCCCTGTATGCTATGAATATGTTTCATTACAATAGATTAATAAAGGAGCTACTTTGGCCTATGGCAGGGCAGAATATAGCAAGGTGGGAAATCCAAGCAGAGATAGAGAAGAAAAGAAGGTGGAGTAAGGCAGACACCACGTAGCCATCCAAGAAGCAAGATGTAATAAACCATGAGCCTTGTGGTAAAATATAGGTTGGCAGGAAAACTAAACTGAATGCAGGGAGAAAGAAGGCAGAGTCAGGAGATGCCATGTAGCTGCCAAAGGAGAAAGACACCAGAACCTTACCAGTAAGTTACAGCCTCTTGGCAATACACAGATTAAAAGAAATGGGTTGATTTAAGATGTAAGAGTTAGCTAGAAATATGCCTGAGCTATTGGTCAAACAGTGCTGTAATTAATATAGTTTCAATTTGATTATTCGGGTCTTGGTGAATGGAAAACTAAATTGCATCCTCTGATTACATAACAGCCTCCCAAAATAATTACAACAGTTTGGCCAAAAGCTCAGGTATATTTCTAGCTATGTTTTATATCTTAAATTAACCCATTTTATTAATTTATATTTTACCACAAGGATCATGGTTTATTACATCTTGCTTCTTGGATGGCTACGTGTTGCTTTTATTTAATGAATAAAGACACTGCTTTGGCCTGTGATAGGGCAGAACAGAGTTAGGCATGGAAAACTAAACTGCTGGGAGAAAGAAGGCAGAGTTGCAGGATGCCATGTAGCCGCCACCAGAGATAGATGTGATGGAATCTTGCCAGTAAGCCACAGCCACATGGTGATACACAGATTAAGAGAAATGGGTTAGCCAAAGACAGAAGAGCTAGCTAGCAGTGCGCCTAAAATATTAGCCAAGCAGTGATTTAAATAATATAGGACGGGGCACACATAAACTTCCGCCAATACACTACATACATTTAAATTTCTTAACTAAATTTAAAACATCAGTGTTACTAGATTTTATGTTATAGAACTAAGTCCATTCCAAATGACTTAGGTTTGTAAAATGACTGACACATTTATGACTGATTTTATAATTATTTCTGAAACTCCTTTTTTTAAAAGAATATTTATATATTTATTATGAATACAATATTCTGTCTGTGTGTATGCCTGCAGGCCAGAAGAGGGCACCAGACCCCATTCCAGATGGTTGTGAGCCACCATGTGGTTGCTGGGAATTGAACTCAGGACCTTTGGAAGAGCAGGAAATGCTCTTAACCTCTGAGCCATCTCTCCAGCCCTGAAACTCCTTATGTTGAGTAGTTGCTATTAAAATTAAATGAAACCAGGCTTTATAGCACAGGTCTATAATCCCAGATCCGTGGGGAAGTTAAAGCGAGAGAACCAATAAATTCATACCTTGCTTTGGCTACAAAGCAAGTTTGAGACTAATATAGACAATTTAGTGAGACCCTGTCCCAAATTTTAATTGTGACAAAAAGGAGAAGTGTATACAGTTCAGTGCTATAGCAGTGTCTAGCAATATGAAGTCCTAGGTTCACTGCCCAATAATGCAGGAGAAAAACAATATGTAAGAAACATAATTGTGTAATAACAGTCCATAGGTCACTCAGTCTTACTTTTACCAATAATAATAATAACAGATAATATTATGGAAGAAAGTACTGATGGCATTAACCAGTATTTGATCTCCCCTAAAAATCTAGACTTTTAGAAACCAGAATGTTTTTCCTGGATACATGGCTACCAACAATATAGATCATACTGCCTATTTCCCCTGCTGATAAGAAGGCTCAGGAAATGAATTTTATCATCTGGACACATTTGGTCCTTTTACAAGACAATGCCCGATTTGGTAAATGAGACACGGGACTGAGCAGGTACAGTGTCGCACTTCTCTAGTTCCAGCACCTGAGAGGCAGAGGCATGCAGATCTGATCTACAAAGTGAGTTCCAAGCCAGCCAGGGCTGTATAGTGAGATCTGTGTAAGAAGAGAAGGGGGACGGAGGGAAGGAGGGAGAATGAAGAAATGAGAGATCAGTATCTCCTGAAAAGAGTTTATGTCAGTATCTGTCATGACCTCATTTTTGTGCTCCAAATGTCCGACATTATGGTCAAAACACTGGCAGCTACTAACAAACTGACGTTCAGAAGGAATCAAGAGTCTCTGAAGAGCCTGAACTGTTTACTAACTTTTTATTTTCTTTCTTTCCCCTCAAGTGCTAGGGACTAAACCCAGGGCGACCATATGCTAAGTGTATGCTGCATCACTAAGCTACATTTCCAACTCCACAATTGCAGTTTTTGATTCAGAGACAAACATAAACTAAATTAAGCTTGGATTATTTAATTATTATACTGCAAATAATAAATCAGATACAATTCTAACCTCCTTCATTCTTACAAGCACAGGCCACTTTTGCTCATTGTTTTACCAAAAGTATGTGTCCTTTAGTCCTTATATAAATCCTGTTAATATCACTGTTTGCACATTATAAGTATGTAATATAAAGATAAATAATTTGAGTTCAACCTCTGTGAGACAGACTTGTTTCAAATCTAGGTCAACCCTAGCATCCTCACACTTAACAAAACACAACAGAATCTCTTATGTATATTTACAGATCTAAAATACAAATATGTCAGTGAACAATTCAAGTACAACACTTTGGGAAAGACCCGTTATCAGACTTTTTCTTTTTCTTTTCCTTTAATAAGATCCTTCTTACGTCATCAAATACTCAACCAACTAAAATTCTGTTGTCCTGACCCAATAACCAGCAAGCAACCTTCTGACTTCTGTAAGTCTAACTGACTATGGTCTGATCACAAAGATTCTGAGTAGCACATAACACAATAAATCAAGTCTCTGGTTCCTATTTTATTTTTCATGGTAACAGTTCATTACAGAATTATCCTTGAGGTTCATAACCCATGAATGAGTACTAACAAGAATATGTCTCTAGGTGCTCAGAGATGAATGAGACCCACGTAGGATTCCCCCTCAGTCAACAACACCATTCCTATTTTTTTCATGTTTATCTATCTGTCAATTCCTAATCACAACAGTAAAAAATTGATAAAAACTGTAAGGCAATGATCCAAAGAAGAAAAGCAGCAAATGAAACAAAGTGATGAAGCAAACTTAAAACAGAAAGTAAGGTTGAGGAAAGGTGGCACACCCCTTTAATCACAGCACTCTGGAGGCAAAGGCAGGAGGATACTGAGTTCAAGGCCAGCTTGGTCTACAGAACAAGTTCCAGGACAGCCAGGGCTACACAGGGAAACCTTGTCTCAGAAAAACAACCAGAAAGCAAGATCTAAACTACTGCTTCTTTCATCTTAGAAAGACTGTTATCTTCCACCAGAATCAAGAGAAGTGCACAAAACCTACTAGGAAGCCTAAATAGCAACACTGGATTCTAAAAAGGAAACAGGATAAATAAACCAGAGAAAGAAATTCTAGCAGACATCCAAAAGCGACAGGAGGGAATGTGCAATAGATGTGAAGATTACTAATTGAAAAATATGAAAATATAGAGAGAAATAAAAATAGAAAAGATAGGGAGAAAATTTCAGCAGTGGAAATATAGTATTTGATTTAAATTTCAATGTAAGCAACAAAACACAGAGATGTAATTCTTGTGATTCTGCCACCAATAAAAATGTGTACTTTCATATTTTATAGTTGTTACAACATAGCAAGATCCTTTACAGCCTATCAGACGTAAGTTCTTCCTAGGTTATGTATGCTGTTCTTCCAAATTCCTTGGCTCAAGGAATTCTGTCTCAACCTCCTGCACCGTTCTGACTAAAGCTTTGTAGCACCATGACTGACTCATTGCTGTATCCTGTTGTTTTATGAATTATAAAAAGCCATAATTGGAGAGCCAGGCCATGGTGGAGCACACCTTTAATCCCATGACTCGGGAGGCAGAGGCAAGTGGATCTCTGAGTTTGAGGCCAGCCTCGGTCTACAGAGCAAGTTCCAGGAGAGCCAAAATTATACAAAGAGAAACCCTGTTTTAGGGTGGGAGGTGGGGAGAAACCATAGTGGAGCTGGACAGAAGCATTAGTGTTTGCCTCTATCATGTATGGGGTCATAAATTCAATCCCAAAACCATACAAAAGCACATATTATTACATCACAAATTTGTTTTATTACCATTTCAGCAACTAAATTTCAAGGTAGTTTTTCTTTTATGATATGTATTTTAGACATTTATAAATTCTGATAAGTGTCTTTACCAAACTCTACATGGGTATACCGCACAAAATGTACAAAAGGACAAAGACTCTCTCACTTAAAATGCATCATTTAAGAAAACATATAGAACATTCTCTCTGAATTATCAGCCTTTTGGCAACAGGCAATTACATTTAGTTTGCCAGAGAAATAGTTCTGGAACATATATAGCTGTATAAATATATTTAGTAATTGCATCTAGACAGCAGAGTGAATAAATTTATGACTTTGGAAATCAAACTGGCTAGAATTTTATTTCTTCATACCTCTAATAAAGTTGATTTCCTTTATACTTTAAAATAATAACTAAAAGTCAATAGAAATAGGAACTTATAATATCAATACTCATCTAATCTATTCATCTAATAATACTAATTGTCAGTGTTAATGTTACTTAGGTTTTTAATGGAAGATTTTAAGAAGTTTAGTTTTAAATAAGATATAAATTTGAAAGTTATCTGAAGCATCAAGTTATAAAAGACAGAATGCATTAAATAATCCATGAAGAGACTTTCGTGTTGTTAACTACAAATTATACATTAACTTTCAACACAGTCCTCACCTGCCCACCGGCTACAATGGCTCCAAAGAGATGCAATAAGCAACACTTAAGACTTTCCTTGAGATGTTCACTTTCCTGAAAACATTCTGTGAATACACAAATAAACAAATCAATAAGATTTCTATTTCAGAACACAATTCATGTCTAAGGAAACTGACATACGAAAAACTCTATGAAAAGGCTAAAAATCTGTCAGAAGGCAAGGCTGACAAATGTGTCATGTCTCATTTACTTCTCACAGTACTCCATAAGAACATCCTGTCTCAGTATAAAGAAGCTACTAGAAGATAAGTTATTATCTCATCTGAAGTAATGTGGTTACTAAGTGACAGAACTAGAACTTAACCCAGTCCTAACTTAAACTTTCTTCTGTTTTCTTAACAACTGACCCTTACTTTAGTGAATTACAAAATAAAAGAGTTAAATAAAAATACCTTAAATCTACTCCAAGGATCAATACTCTTCAAGGATCAATTTCTAGGACTAATGTCTTTTCTCACAATAAAATATTTTGCTACTTTTAAATGCTATAAATGCTCACGTCAAAGAAACATAAGGCAGAAAAACAAAACAATAAATTCAGAAGTTTCCTTCTGACCTTTTCCTCAATTTACCATAACTTCTAACTTCAATTTTTTTAAAGAAAAAGAACTGTACAATATAGTCTTTTTAAAGATTTCAGTGAATATTGGATCCAGGACTTTCACCTCAAAATACAAAAAACTATGGAGCAAAATTTGCTTTTGTAACCTATGTCAATACTCCAATATACATTAAATCATCTCCAGATTACTTAGACTAGCTAAAAATGCAAATAGTATGTAACTCTAACAATGTACTGTTTAGACGAAAACAAAAAAGTCTATACATTTATAGATGTAATTTCTTTCCCACTGTATGTTTTTAAGCTACAGCTAGTTGTGTCTACAGATGTGGAACTCATGGATGTGGAAAGTACTGAATATGCTTTTAGTTTTTGAACTTAATACATTATAGACATTACTATAATTTAACAGATAATCTACCTTGTTCATCTTTATCACCAAAACAAAACAGCATGATGAACATTTCGTTAACCAGTTCTCTACTGACAAACTGTTGTTATCCCACCAATTTGGGAGGAGCGCGAGATCATGTACATGTATGTGATTCTCATTAACTCTGTCCCTGAACACTGGAATTATAGACTGTGTGGGTCCTCACATTTGCACACTAAGTACTTTACTGACTGAGCCATCTGCCCAGCACTTATTTGTCCATTCTGTTTATAATCCTATAGTAAATACTGTTTTGCCTTTATTACATACTTACATAAAAATATAACGACAGATATCCAACTTTATGCATAACACTTCCAAATATAGCTGTAAAATGTACTAATAGAAAAACTCGTAATTTAAAAAAAATTAAGCCGTTACAGCTATGTTGAAATAACTGTTTTAAACAATATAAAAATGGACAAAGGGGTCCCAGAAATAGGGTCAGAAAACTGTTAAACATAGATGGAAAACATATTGAACTCAAGGATTAATTCAGGTTTCTGTTCAGAGACACTTTCAGAATCACTGCACAAAATGGGAGGACCCTAAAAGACCAGTGCTGTTTAATGAGTTCAGGGGACAGAAAACAATTTTAGGAGAGGCTGGAACAACTGGAATTTGCAAAGTAGAATACTGGAATGGAGAATGTTATACCAGGTGCTTCGAAAATACATATAACACTTGCTTTGTGTTTGAGTAACAATCCTCATCAGATAATGTAAAATTCTACAAGCAGGCAAAAACTACGAAGATGGTGTAAGCAGAAAGATTTTATAATCTTATACTAAGATGTAAGATGGGTATTTCCTTCAGCTCTAGGGGAACTTAAGAAAATAAACAGTATAAAGACTATAAAAAACACATTCTATGTATTCTCTAATCAAAATTTTGCTAGAAGGGGAAGTGAGAAGGTTTACCAGGTAGAAAGTCAATTCCTGCCAAGCCTGATGGCTTAAATTCAACCACCAGGATTCACAGGTAGAACAATGACTTCTGACATTTATGTAGACATGTACAACACATACACACAGAGATCAAAACAGACAACGAATTTTAATGCATGTTGGGAGGCACATTTTGTTACCAAAAAAAATAACACACACACACACACAAAACCCACACATTTTCTAACAAAGTAGCAAAAATAAGTTATCTGAAGAGCCCTTTCAAGAAAATTGCAACAAAAATGAAAAAAAAATTCGATCTCATCCAAAGCCAGAGTCAAAGCAAAGGCCATGAAAAAGAGGAAGGTGATGCAAAAAGGTGAATACAAGTTTCACATATTTTTGATCATCCAAAGCAAACGTCCCACCCCAAATCAACCTCAGTGTCTTCAAAGCCATTCCAGAAAAAATACGCATGATCACTACACCCCCACTATATCCTCTGATATAGTCGAACAATTAAAAAAAAAAGAAAGAAAAAAGGTAACAAACTGCTCCATTTGGAAGTCAAAGTCAGCAAGCATCAATTTAAACAGGTTTCAAAGAAATGCATGATACTGAAACAGACAACTCGACAGCTTGATTGGCCTGGTGGAAAGAAAAGGGCCCTCTATGTTCCATTAGCTTCTATCTACAATATTTTGGGTGTTTTCAACAAAACTGAAATAATCTGAGGCCCCAAATCTTATAACAAAACCTTTCACTTTCCTAGACCACAGGATATGTGGAATCTCTAAGTCTAAAGCCCCATTACTATTGTAGAAACTATATCTGGAAATCATTTGGCTCAGGGTATCCAATCCTATCAAAGCCATCCAGGTCTTTCTTAAATCCTACCACCAGAAAACAGCTTAGGGCCTCTGGAAAACTAACATGTTACTGTATACTTTGGATTCCTAGTTATAGCTTTATGCATAAGCTTCTAAATGAATCCCTAAAATGAAGCAACCAAGTTCTCTTTCATGGGACTAAGAACAAAAGAGGTCTTCTGAGAAATCAAAGGCTTCTTTAATCAGTGATGTAACTTTGGAGGTTATCACAACCTGACAGATCTTTTAAACTGTATGTTACCAAATACCAGGGTGTAACCCTGGAGTTCTCAATTATGTCCTAGGTCAAAGCTATCAATCTACTTGTAGGGTATTTACTAAAACTGATTCAGTTGTCCAACGGTTGACAGGATACATTAACTACAGCCTTTAATCCTAGCACTAGGGAGGTAGAGGCAGGTGAAATCTGAGTTCTAGGACAGCGTAGGCTACACAGTGAGTTCTAGGACAGTCCAAACTATGTGGAGACACTCTGGTTCAAAAGAGAAAAGGGGACAGAGGGGAAGGGAGGTGGGAAAAGAAGAGAAAAAGAAAAAGGAATAGCAGCTGTCACGACTCTTTTAATAGGAGAAGTCCTTAGATTTACTTTGGGGTCTCCACTGTCTACATTTTATATCAATAACCTCTCTATTAAATCCCAAATCTCCCACTGGTTTAGATACTCTTCTGTTACCAAGCCTGGCTACTTGATAACTTTGAAATATTTTTACAACAGTGTCCTACCTCAACTCCTCTACTTTATTTCCTACCCCAGAGTATGGTTTACTTTACTTACAGTTCACAAATGCAATATGGCTCACCAACAGCAGTTCCTCTGTGAGTAATGAACAACCAACAGCAGTTCCTCTGTGAGTAATGAACAACCAACAGCAGTTCCTATGTGAGTAATGAACAACCAACAGCAGTTCCTATGTGAGTAATGAACAACCAACAGCAGTTCCTATGTGAGTAATGAACAACCAACAGCAGTTCCTCTGTGAGTAATGAACAACCAACAGCAGTTCCTCTGTGAGTAATGAACAACCAACAGCAGTTCCTATGTGAGTAATGAACAACCAACAGCAGTTCCTCTGTGAGTAATGAACAACCAACAGCAGTTCCTCTGTGAGTAACGAACAACCAACAGCAGTTCCTCTGTGAGTAATGAACAACCAACAGTAGTTCCTCTGTGAGTAATGAACAACCAACAGCAGTTCCTGTGTGAGTAATGAACAACCAACAGCAGTTCCTCTGTGAGTAATGAACAACCAACAGCAGTTCCTCTGTGAGTAATGAACAACCAACAGCAGTTCCTATGTGAGTAATGAACAACCAACAGCAGTTCCTATGTGAGTAATGAACAACCAACAGCAGTTCCTATGTGAGTAATGAACAACCAACAGCAGTTCCTCTGTGAGTAATGAACAACCAACAGCAGTTCCTATGTGAGTAATGAACAACCAACAGCAGTTCCTCTGTGAGTAATGAACAACCTACAGCAGTTCCTCTGTGAGTAATGAACAACCAACAGCAGTTCCTCTGAGTAATGAACAACCAAACAGCAGTTCCTCTGAGTAATGAACAACCAACAGCAGTTCCTATGTGAGTAATGAACAACCAAACAACAGTTCCTCTGAGTAATGAACAACCAACAGCAGTTCCTCTGTGAGTAATGAACAACCAACAGCAGTTCCTCTGTGAGTAATGAACAACCAACAGCAGTTCCTCTGTGAGTAATGAACAACCAACAGCAGTTCCTCTGTGAGTAATGAACAACCAACAGCAGTTCCTCTGTGAGTAATGAACAACCAACAGCAGTTCCTCTGTGAGTAATGAACAACCAACAGCAGTTCCTCTGAGTAATGAACAACCAACAGCAGTTCCTCTGTGAGTAATGAACAACCAACAGCAGTTCCTATGTGAGTAATGAACAACCAACAGCAGTTCCTATGTGAGTAATGTACAACCAACAGCAGTTCCTCTGTGAGTAATGAACAACCAACAGCAGTTCCTCTGTGAGTAATGAACAACCAACAGCAGTTCCTATGTGAGTAATGTACAACCAACAGCAGTTCCTCTGTGAGTAATGAACAACCAACAGCAGTTCCTCTGTGAGTAATGAACAACCAACAGCAGTTCCTATGTGAGTAATGAACAACCAACAGCAGTTCCTTTGTGAGTAATGAACAACCAACAGCAGTACCTATGTGAGTAATGAACAACCAACAGCAGTTCCTCTGTGAGTAATGAACAACCAACAGCAGTTCCTCTGTGAGTAATGAACAACCAACAG